AATGGCTGCGGATCCGGTTCGTAAGTAGAGGCGAGTTCGTAAGTAGAGGTAAATTTTTGGGCCGGGAGCTGGTCGTATCTTGAAAAATTCGTAAGTAGGGGCGTTCGTAAATAGAGGTACCACTGTATTGGTTACTCAGTTTCTTCAATGGAAAATCTCCATGAGCACAAGAGGTTTTACAAATCTGGACATTCTACACAGATGAGTGGAATGAGACATAGATTTATACAAGCATGAATTAAGAAAACATTGATACTAAACTTCTATTGGATATTATTATTTTAGCAGAGTTCTGGATTTTCTACAAAGCATGCTTTTGTAGGGTCATTGAAAACAATCCCACTACTAGGAGCTTTGAGAAATTACAAAGTAATGGGGGAAATGTTACTTTAAACTGGAATATTGTAAGTGTCTACACTGAACTTAGAAAAAACTGATTTCAAGCAACTGTTTCTTTTCTACTTTCATTGTTTTGTTTTATTTTCAGCTGCAGTTTTAAATTGCCAGTCTGCACTGAATGTGCTGTCCTCAGAGGATGGAAAAACAGATATAGTAAGAGCAGCTCAGAAATTTTGCCACTTAGTAGCACAAAAGCAAAAGAAATGTACAGATCTGGATATGGATGTCTTGGAGAATTTATTAAGTAGTAAGTATTAAAGCAGAATTTATTTTTCTTGAGTACTTATTAGGAGTGGGAAATGGCTAATCTAACAACAGTAATTTTTTAAACATAATCAAACTATTGATGTCAATATTTGGATTTCATACTCACTATTCAGTCCCCACATTCTACAGGACTACTTTGTGGAAGATCTCCTTTTGAAATATGTTTTTGTATGTTCTTGCTATGTACAGCACACCTTGCCAAATATGTGCAGTATTATGTGTAGTGGTGCATAGGCTTGTGGAAGAAAATCCATTTTATTTGGAAGAGTATTCCACATTTGTCTTCAGGTTTATATACAAGGGGTGCCAAAAGGCAGACCCCATAGACAGTTTATTTTATAAATTAGATGAAATGTTCAATTGGTTGGATTTTCTTTTAAACATTATTCATTTGATGCATGACCTTCAAATATTCCTAAGCATGGTAACATTTTCTCTGGAAAAAAAAAAATTATGATTGGCCTGTTTGGCTTGACTTCTAGGAACACTATAATGCTACTCATTAAATCTGTGTGTCTCTGAGCATTTTATCTTCCATTAGTACTCAAAATTGTCTATTTAACTGCAGATGCAGGTATTTAAAAGCAGACTTCTGGATGTGGAATTTATTTGTTTTGATTAATTACTTACAAGCTAGTTGATGTTCTTTCAAAAATCCCAGTGGGATAATTGGCCCCCAGAGTTTGCTTATCCATGAATTTATTATTATCTCGTCATCAGCTGAGATCCCAGGGCAGGGGTGGTGATGTAGCGATTGTCATCCGGGAATCCCATACAGCTTTCAGGGGCACTGCTCCACAGGTCACCAGATGTGAGACCCTGTTTATTAAGTTTGGCTGTAGGGATCAGTTGGGATTGTTGCTGTTGTATCAGCCTCCCTGCTACACAGCAATCTCCCTGCCTGAGCTGCTTGATTCTGTTTCTGAGTTGGCAGTGGAGTTCCCCAGACTTATGGTCCTGGGAGACTTCAATCTGCCTTCTCTAAGAGTGTGGTCTGATGTGGCTCAGGAATTCATGGCCACCATGACCTCCATGGGCCTATCCTAGATCATCCAGAGCCCAAAATGGGACAGTGGCCACATACCTGATGTGATGTTCCTATCAGAGCAATAGCTATGTGATCTGAAATTGGGTGAGCTCTCAGTGTCTCCCTTGTCATGGTCAGATCACACTCTGATTACCATGAAATTCTCTTGCGCCACTGTCCACTCATTAGATTGGTCTGCCCCCAGTGACAGATGGACCCAGATGGGTTTCAGAGGGAGCTGAGGGTTGTTCCTGCTGGTCTACTGCATGACTTATCTGAAGCCTTGATCACCGCTTGGAATAGGGTTAAGGCCTACCTAGTGGCAATAAGGGTGGCGAAGGGTCAGTACTTTTCTGCTTTTGCGTCCGCAGATTGCCATCCAATGGCCCTGTTTCAGGTGACATGTGTCCTCTTGGGTAGAGGGGACTCGGAGAACCTTTTGCAGGGTTGTGTGGAATAATTTGTATAACATCTATCAGTCAAAGTTGTTTGAATTCGCTCAGAGTTGGACACTGCCCTTGTTGCAGGTTTGGAGGAGATGCCTAGAGAGGAGTCTTGCCCAGTTATCTGGGATTGGTTTGAACCTGTTGGGCCCGAGGAAGTGGACAGGGTCCTTAGGACTAAGCTCAGCCACCTGCTCTTTAGATTCATGCCCCTCCTGGCTTGTTAAAGCAGCCCAGGGGGTGTCGTGTGAGTGGGTTCTAGTGGCAGTGAACTCTTCTTTGAATGAGGAGGTTGTTCCTTTACCTCTAAAGGAGGACTTGATTCATCCCCTTCTCAAGAAGCCATCACTGGATGCCACTATACTGGACAATTTTCATCCAGTATCTAACCTCCCCTTTTTGGAGAAGGTGGTTGAGAAGGTGGTTGTGCAACAGCTTCAGAGGACCTTTGATGAACTGGATTATCTGGATCCCTTTCAGTCAGGATTCAGACCTGGGTATGGGATGGAAACGGCATTGGTTGTGCTTTTGGATGATCTTTGACGAGGGTGGGATAGGGGTTGTGCATCCATCCTTGCCATCCTTGACCTCTCTGCAGCTTTTGATAGCATCAACCATGGTATCCTTCTGGATCAGCTTAGGGGATTGGGGGTGGGCGGCACTGTGTTTTGCTGATTCATCCCACCCCCGGCCCCTACTATGTGGGGTGCTGCAGGGTTTGGTGCTCTCTCTGCTCCTATTCGACATCTATGTGAGGCCGCTGGGTGAGATCATCCGTCACCATGGGGTGAGGTATTATCAGTATGCTGATGATACCCAATTATACATCTCTGCCCCTGGCAAATTAAGTGATGCTGTGGATGTCTTATCCTAGTATCTGGAGGCTGTGAGGGTCAGAATGGGGAACAACAGGCTTCAGCTGAACCCTGTCAAGACTGGGTGGCTTTGGATTTTGGGTCCTGCCAGTTCCAGGACTATGCCATCTTTGATGCTGGATGGGGTTTTATGGCCCCAGTGAGCAATCTGGGGATCCTCCTGGACTCACGACTCCTTTTCACAGAGCAGATGGCAGTCATGGCTAAGAGGGTCTTTGCACAGCTTCATGTTGTGCACCAGTTGCACCTGTTCATGGATGCGGGGGTGGGGGCTCTCCTCACAGTCATTCATGCCTTAGTCACCTCAGATTAGATTACTGTAATGTGCTGTACATGGGATTGACCTTGAAGAGTATCCAGAAGCTTCAACTGGTACAGAATGCAATGGCATTGGCAGTTATGTGTGCTCCTAGAACAGCTCATGTTACGCTTCTTCTCCACAAGCTACATTGGTTGCCAGTCTGCTTCCAGGTCCAATTCAAGGTGCTGGTTTTTTTACCTTTAAAGCCCATCGTGGCACAGGGCCAAATTATTTGAGGGACTGCCTCTCCCTGATTACTTCTGCCCATCCCATCAGATCCAGCAAGAGAGACATGCTACAGGTCTCATCAGTCAGGGAACTATACTTGGCAGGCCCAAGGAGGCAGGCCTTCTTTGCTGTGCCACCCACCTTATGGAATATTCTCCCCCAGAAAGTGAGATAATCTTCATCCCTACTTGTTTTCCGGAAGTCCCTCAAGACCTGGCCTGGGGATCTCAGGGAACCAGTGAAGTCTTGAGGTGGCTCCTTTGCTGATCTAATCTCTCGTGTGTTTTATGCTTTTTTTAAAAAAAGTTTTAATTTGACTGCTTTTGACATATTTATTGTTTTTATATTTTTTGCTGTACACCGCCCAGCCAGTTCTTGTGAGATGGGTGGACATATAAATTTGATGGATGGATGGATAGATTTGACTACCATTTATTCTGCTGACTAGGTGTAATGGATGGCATGAGCGGGGAAGATTCTGGAATGGAAGTTCAAGGTTGTCTGGAGGGGGGAGAGACATTCCAGAGCAAGCACCTCCTCAGCCCACAACAAGAGTGTGGGAAGACGAAGAGGATGAGGCTGGCCCCTCCCTAGAGTCTCATGGGGTATATCCACTAGTTGCTTTAGCATAGGTTGAGTCTGGCAAGATTTACGTCAGGTTCAGCCCAAGAACAACAATGAGGCAATCCAATACAGTTCAGTTCCTTTATTAACTTGCACCTAATAGACAGAATCTTCTCCACTCATGCCATCCATTACACTAGGATATTTCAACTGCACGTATGAAGCACAATGGCATGGTAAAAATGTGTTATACCTCTAATAAACTGAGTAGTCTTAATGCTGCAACATTATTGTGCCCGTCTCTAGGTACTAATGGCTTTCCGGATCCTGACCTAATATTAAAGTTTGGTCCTGTGGACAGTGTCTTGGGATTTCTTCCCTGGCAAATCAGATTGACAGAGATTGTGTAAGAACGTATAATTCTTATGTATTTTGAATTGCCAGTAGATTTGACCTTGATGTTCAATCTGATAGGAATGTGTTGATATTGGTAGTGAGTTAACACAGTTCTCATTCCAATTATGTTGAAGGCTAAATAAGAAATGCCTCACGATGTGTATTAAAAATATATTGACAATTTTTCTGCTTCTACCTTTTTGTAAAGCAAGGGTGATCAAACTGCAGCTTCAATGCTTCTTGTTGTCATTCTCTCCAAATTGCAATCACTCACTAATTATCTTCACTAAATTAACAAAGATAGATGTGTTAAGCATCCTGTAGGCTTAATGTACCTGTTGTACTTTTTAACACTCCAACGTGGGAAAAAGGATTCAACCCCCTTTATAATATATCACTCCCCCTGCCATCCGACAGTCTTTAGTCACTGAAAGCATTAGGAAAAATGCTACTCCCAGCTTCAAAGATTGCAACCACTGAAAGGTGCACATTCATGGACAGTTAGTTCATGAAGGTAAAAATTAATAGATTTTTTGCTAACACATACTTTAATATTTCATTTGTACTATTCATGATCCAGTGTATGGTAATAAAAGATAGTAAAAAGTCTTGATAGTATAACGTAAGTACTATCATCTTGCTAACATTCCAGTTGTCCTGTGGAATGACTTGCTCTCTGTGACATGCCTGGTGCCAACACAGAGGCAATTTAGGAATCTTTAAGAATCCATCTTTTTATGTTTGCCCTCTCTAGCCATTAACTCCTTCTAATAGTTGCTTTTATTCTGTTTTTTATTACTATTATAAACCACTTTGGATTTTTCTGAATCATGAGAAATGGTTTGAAAATTAGGGCTCTGTAATACTCTAAATAAAGGGAAAATTATTTGCTCAAATGTGCAGGTCCTTAAATTCAGTGTGTCTTTGCTTTACATCTTACAGCAGCAGCTGCACAGAGCCAGAAAAGACATAGTTTATTTAAGACATTGCTGCATGAGCATCCCTAAATAACTCCAAATCACTTTATCCCTTTGAATCTGGATTAGGGTACCCTCTAAAAAAAAAATACATTTAATAAATAAGGTCCTTTCAGATTGGCATCCCTAACTTTTAAATATTTAAAATATTTAAACAGGTGGCAAAACTACTTAATAATGAAGTAAAGCCAACAATGTACAGAAGGACCCTGTGGTTCTTCATTTGTTGCAGAACAGCAAGTTCTAGCAGGCAATGTGGGTAATAGTAAGGTTGATAACTATGATTCATCAACATCTGGTAGGCTACAGGTATCCCATCCCTGCAGTAAATTTTTTTTTTTTCTGTTAGCGAATATCTTTCCATCATTTGAGGGAAGTAAAAAACAACAACAACTTCATGTTGAATCTGAACTCTTACATTCCGTGGAGAAAAATATTATCACCATAAGGGAGCACCTCTAACTATATAGAGTGTACTTTTGCAGATAAGTACTATAAATTGGAGAGATCTTGTAGAGTCTTATGCATTAAAACATAGATTCCTGTACAGCCAAGCAACGTGCATTTGCTAGCATGTGGGCAGAAAATATAGAATACTCTAATTTTGTATTTTACTATAAAGCGTCTACTGTGTATCATATATCACTCTGATTAATAATTCAAAACAAATTGTTAGGAAAGTGATACAAAACTTATGTATTGTATGCATTCCCAATGATACTTAGTTTTCTTTCCAATTATGTTTTCTCAGTTCTTTGCCTTCACATGTGAATATCAGCTATGATGAATTCTTCTCTGCCCTTTGTCACTATGCATCCTGTGATCAGCGTGTTGGAAAATGACCTATTGCAGAATTCTATCGGGATTTCTTTGGAAAGGACCCAAGGTCTCTGTTTACAAATACCTGTGATGCATACAAATCCAGTACATAGTCTTTTAATTTATCAAATTCAATAAAGTGTCTTATCCTTTTTAGAATTTGTATGTGTGTATACTCATAATCTATGGAAGTATGGGAAAGCAATGGTTTACTGCTCTCTAATGTATATCATAAAAGTTGTTTAAAAAAAAGTTGTTTGAAGGCTTCAGGCTTATTTTTTTCCAGTGATCAAATTCTTATTACTAGAAATATTTACATGTAATTATGAAGAAGAAAACAAAGTAGTAGCACTACAGTCATTAGAGGTAGCACATTCTCAGTTGAAGTCTCCTCATAAAAACTTCTGAAATCATACCTTATGTCTTCTTCTTTGTCAGACAGAAGTCTGCATCTGACCTTCTAAGCCCTAGAATCTAG